CAGGAATGCTCACACATGTTTTGAATTTTGTTCACAACTCCATGTTGTGAATAAACTGTAAACAATCTGCTCACACTGACTCACAGCTTCAGCATGTAAGAGAAAGCAGGGGCTTTTCATGTGCCTAATGGCCAGAGAGATGATTGCTTCTCAAACATCTATGAGCTCTAGAGATGTCTCACTGCAGTTATTTTTCCTCTCATTTTACAGATTTTATGAGGCCTCATGGAAAACATGGACAAGCTGTTCTTGTTCCAGTTCTTTGATGCTATTCACAAAAGGCTGGCAGTGAACTTTGCAATACAGGGAAGAACAACATAGCCTATCACCATCCTCAGGAAATGCAAGGCTATTCTTGGCTTCACAATAAACAGCTGAGATTTCACTTTTAAACATTTAGTTGTGGCACTGGTGCTTGTGACAGAAGTGGGAACAGTGGTCATCAAAGTGGTCGTCTGCCCCATATCTATCTCCAGACTTGGTGCAGCTCAGGTGGCAGCGAAACAGACTTCCATACATTACAGGAACTGCTTCTTGGAGGCTCCAGTGACCTCAGCTTAGTCAGCTTCTGGCCTCTAACCTAAAATCACCCGCTAAAAGGTCGACAGACACAGAAACTTCATGATGTGAAAAAACATACAACCATCATCAGAGTCCTTACAAAAGCGTCTGGCCTCAAATTAGCAATAAGCAGAAAAACAAACAAAACCCCATCATTGGAGGGCACAGTTTGACAGCAGGATGTGGAGGCACGCTCATGGCAGTGGTGCTGAGGGCGGTTGGTCACTGGAGCAGGCTCCCCAGGGAAGTGATCCTGGCACCAAACCTGTCAGAGTAAAAGGAGCATCTGGACAACGCTCTTACTGGTGTAATTTAGTTTCAGCTAGTCCTGAAAGGAATGGGGAGTTGGACTCGATGAGTGCTACAGGTCCCTTCCATCTTGAGATGCTCTGTGATTCTACCTGTTATATAGGCTACTCCATCTCTCCCCAAGCACAGAAGTTATTCCATCAATTTCTTCTACCTTGAACTGAGGATTAATCCAGTATGAAGAGAATCACAGACTCACAGAATCGCTCGG